CTGTGGAGAAGACCATGACACCTTTCATACAGACTGGAAAGGTCCCTGGGAAGTCTCACTGCCTGGCCTGGCCTGGCCTGCATTAATGCCTCACCAGATGACCTTAGACATCGGACATGGAGTGGCATTAAATTCTATGTCAAAAATAGAATCACTGCAATTCGAAAAAAAAATCTAAAATAAAATTCCTTTAAAATAGTTGTTTGGTTTCTATTGACTGTTTTGTATTACTTAAAGTAGTCCCAGTAAAAAAAGATTATGTCTATGGGTCCCATTCTGAACGGCCCTGTCAAAGGGACCCACCAGGTAACAAAAACGTGTATGTGTGTACAATACATGTATGTATGTGTGTGTGTGTGTGTGTGTGTGTGTGTATGTGTGTAAATATAAGCTCCAATGTTCTGACACTCACCAGTGTGCAACTAGCAGATGGTAACAGAGGGGAGAGATGGTGCGTGTGGATGTTACGTATCGAAAGTGTGTGTGTGCTAGTGTGTGTGTGCGTGCGTGTGTGCGTGTGCAGGTGTGCGTGCATATCTGGCGCGTGCGGCGTGAGGGTCGGCCCGGAGTTTACTGATACATTAGCGCACACAGCTAGAGATGGACCCGCTCGCCACATCGTGCAAATAGGGCTTAAAATAGCGTTATGAACAGACCTCCCCTCTCCCCTTTTTCCTTTTTTTAACCGACAGCTTTGACCGGTTAACGCTGTGACGGTCAACCACCGGTTAAACGGTCACCGATTTACATCCCTACCTAGGACCCTTCTTGCGTGGAGGGTCCAGGGTTTTCTATGAAGTATTTTGTTTAGTTTGGTCTCGTATACTTATTTTTAACTTTTCTTTAGCGCTTATATAAAGTGAATTTTGCACTGAGTCGTTTAAAAGTACTCATCGTATCCATGCTTCAGTTTGTGCCGCTCTGTCTTTGCCGATCAGCGAGTGCCGCACACAGATGTAAACAAAGATTCTCCTACAGTCACTTTTATACGTTTACTTTCACTTATATTTTATTCTCATTTCAGAAAGTTTCTATTTCAATGCTAAATATAAATTCTATAGATTAAAGTCAAGGACCAAAGGAATAATAAGGGGTTATGTGGTACAATAACCTTGTGTTGACTGTAATAGGTATGAAAGGGCGCATTCTCAGCAATCCATTAGTTGTGATTAATCAATGAACTTGTTACAGCCCTAAATTGTATAAATACTTTGAGGATGAGAGAATGCAGCTTGTTCAACAGCAGTCACTCTGTATCCTAGTGGACCACTGCTGTTTTCTCCCTGCCACATCTGAAAGACTGTCCATTTATCTTCTCCCAAATCCATTTAAAAAGCCTCAATCTCTCGGGACGGTCCACACACAAACTGCGCTGTCACTTAAAGTCTTCCGTCGAGACAAAGCTGCTAAGTTTATGGAGTCAATTAAGATTTTTTTTCCTTCTTTACAGCAATGGAGGGAGAATTAAAGCAGCTTGGCAGGCTCCCCTGGGTGCGGAACCAGGACCCATTCAGAGCTTTTGAGCAGTAAGGAGCTTAGATAGACTCACCTCATCAGGGCACTTCACTGTTGAATCTGTCCAAGTGACTGCAGCTTTAAAAGTCTACTTATTTTCTTGTTAAATCCCCAGTTTTTTACACCCTTTTAATACACAAAAACATAGTGTTACGGGCAACGACCTATTGTGCCAGTTGTTCACTAGATGGCGCTCCCCTTTGTGTTTGTGTGTGCGCCTTCGTGCTTTGTACAGGTGATCTGTGCTCGCGATCTATTGGAGGAACCTCGAGAGTGGGCGTGGCCGGTCCGACACCTGAGTGGCTGTAGTGGCAGAAGCATGTGGATGTCCTCCAACCCCGGGGATCCATCAACGAGGGCGTCCCCCATAAAACCTCCCATTCTCCGCCAGCTCGGGGCCTGTCCGTGCCAGTCTGCCTTCACTGCTCCTCCTGTGTTGTTCTGTTCCGTTATGTTGAGCTCTAGTTTTGTATAGTGACATTGTTTTCGTATTATTATTTTTGTATTCCTCATTCGTTTCCAAATTCATTTTACTTTCTGTCATTATTAAAACTTACTTTAAAATGGACTAATACCAATTCCATCTGGTTTTTGTCGCGTTCACACTCCCTAGCTGAGCTGGACGTAACACATAGATGTTCCAGTTGTTCATATGAGAACAATGGGCCTCATTCACGAATAACTTCGTAAGAAACTACTCAACTTTCTTCTCAAGTTGTCCTTAAGTAGATTTCTAAGAAGTCCCCACGTGGGATTCATCAACGCACTCGTAAGCCGCTGAATTGTTCGCAGCTGTTCTCTCAGATTGATGAATCCCATTTCCTCGTAAGTACAGCGCGCGTGCCAGGTGCTTCATTAGCATAGGTACTTAGCATAAGTAACCGCCCACTAATGCCCATATAAGGGACTGCAGGGCCGTGTGCAGACGGCAGAGGAAACAGCAACAGGCCTAAAGCAAAGAGTTACGGAGCAAAAGAGTCACCCTTTTTTCTTCTTTTACCAGACTGAGAATAAAGTTATAAAATGTTGACTTAAAAGTCGAAATATTATGATAATAAAGTCGAACTAGCAAAATTATGAGATTAATCTAAGAATATGATGAGATTAATCTCAAAATGTTATGAGCTTAATTTAAAAATATATTATGTATTATTTTAAAGATGAATCTCAAAATGTTTTGAGATTAATCTCAAAATATTTTGGACCCTGGGAGGAGATCCAGCGCGGACCAGCGCTGAGACCAATGCAGACCCGAGGAGAGACTGGAGTGTCCAGCACACAGAAACCAGCGCGGACAGGAGAGACCGCATAGACTGGAGTGACCTGACTGGAGAGACCGGTGCGCGGAGACCAGCGCGGACCGAAGATAGACCGCATAGACCAGACTTGAGAGACCAGCGCGGACCCGTATGGATCCAGGAGCATGCAGCACGGACCCGTATGGAGAGAGACCAGTGCAGACCCGTATAGATCCATGGGAGAGACCAGTGCAGACCAGTATAGATCCATGGGAGAGACCAGTGCAGACCAGTATAGATCCATGGGAGAGACCAGTGCAGACCAGTATAGATCCATGGGAGAGACCAGTGCAGACCCGTATATGGGAGAGACTAGTGCAGACCCGTATAGATCCATAGGAGAGACCAGCGCAGAGACTCAGCGCGGACCCCGCAGCCTCCTGTAGCAGCAGTATATATGCCGTTGTTCTGTGGCCCGTGGATAAAGAAATGCCCCCTATAAATAGGAAGGGGTCACTAATACACGGCAAGATTTCCAATGTATTTGATAAAGCGTTGGCACATTTCATTTCAAAATGAATTAAAAAGTAGGCCAGATCTGCAGTGAAAAAGGCGGTATATAAATAAAGATTACTAATAAAGATTACTACAAATAAATAAATACATACATCGATATGACGGACATATCACTGGAATGTTGTATTTTTATTCAACTTCACCAAAGAGGACAACCCCGGCGTGTGAACATGTCGGCACTGAATGCGTACGAGTGCTCCTGAGGACTTGTAGGATTTGTACTTGCCCAAGAGAAATTCTGGTTACGAGAAATATTTGTGAATGCCACTTTCTTCGTAAAAACCGCGTAAGTAGGATTTATGTAAAAATCTGTTCCTAAGAACCGTTCGTGAATGAGGCCCAATGCTTTTTCTGATACAAATACAGTAATACACCTCAATACAGATCACCCATTGGTGGATGTGGTGGACGCAGTCACGCCTATCTCCACCATTGAAACTAATGTGCCATTCCTTTTGGCTTCTATGGGATTTTTCAAAATGGCCGTAGGGAAGGAAAATGTGAAAAAAAAGCATTTGCGCATGTGTTAGCTGCACTTGCTCCATTCATTTAACGACTGCATTCAGAAGCCACAGCGGCTAATCTAGACTGGTCTCAACATGGACAGCATCTGGAACGAAGCTTTGGACCAAGAGCCACAATTGGACCTTCCTGTAAAGACGTTTTTGAGAGGAAAGAAGATGCCATACAAAAGCATTGGGTAATTCTCTTTCCGGGTACACCCCCACCAGCCCGGAGTGAGATTGCAAGCATCTCAGTGCGTGTGCCCTTTTTGAGCCGGGCACTGGATGTTCCTGAGAGACTACCCCCAACCAATAATATGTCATAATTGTTTAATTTATCTAAGAAAAGTTAAAAGCATTTAACAGTAAAGCCTGCTCCTGTCATTCATATGCAAAAAATATGGGTCTTTTACGGTTTCTTCTGTCGTTATATAGATTCTGCAAATGCCATCTCTTTAAAATAGCTTGAAACCCAATGGCTAAACCAAAATCCATCAAATCACAAAAAGAATTGTCTCCTTTTGTCGACATTCAGGTTTTAAATTGAGTTAAACGCAATCGTATCATTTACAGACTTCAACCTAATAAACCAGCTTGAAAACATTTTCCTATTAAATTAGATTGTGTTATTCAGGCCCGGGAGCTGCATGTGTGCGTATGTTTGTGCATCTCTGCAGAGCTGAACGTTGAGCGTGCCCCACAGTCACAGATTCCCCGTTGCTTCAATCTGAAAGCAGACGGGAGGCCTTTCTTTCATCTCTGTCTGATGTCTGAGGAGCCGTGTATCATCGCAGCACCTCCACCAGCACTAAACATGACACCGGGGGAATCGTAAGTGACCAGAGAGGCCACTCAAAGAGGTCGGCAAGGCTTTGATTCGCAAAAAGGACCACTGTCAGAGATTCCTTGAGGTGAAAATAGAAATCTCCTGTTTTTGTGTACGTGTTTGGCGGTAACCATTCCACTTGGATTTGATTTTTCTGCCATAATAAGGTTCTATCATTGTAGATTTGCGGGGGTCTAACCAAAATGCTAATGTCATCCATAGTTTTTGCAGAATGTGGAAGATGCTGATTTGAACTGAAGCTAGCTGGAGCCAATGTCCGTATATGGGCATTTGTTTCGACAGGGTTAGCTTTGCACCATTGCTAACTGACGTGTTCCCACCATGAGACGTGTTGCTCTCATGGTGGGAAAGGCAAGCTGGAGTTTCCTTCGCAAACAAAGGCATCAGTTTGGAGATCCCAATATGAGACATAAGAAAAGACTAAATCAAAATATAAATATCCAAGAGGGGGAGAGGTCCTTCCTCAAGTGGCTCCTCCTCAAGTAAATCAGGGTCTTGTTCACGAGTGAGGGAAGGATGGAGGGGCAGCGTCTGCAGTCAGAGCTGTCTCGGGCAAAGTGCCGGCACTTTGCCATACAAATGGGAAAGTCATTCATGTGGGAATACTGTGGTGCATCTGCATTTCAACACAGCTAAAAGCCACAAACTACAAACCAACAGTTTTCTGAACATCATTATTGCTCCGTGAAATACATATTATTTTCTAACACTCATTCATACTATATTCATCTGGTTTTTAATCTTCTGTAAAGTATCATGAATGACTTTAGTTCTCCATATTTACAGTAATTTAAGCATCATCAGTCACTGGTCCATGAAGCTGAAACACTAGAAAGAATAAATCCAATTCATCAATAATAAAATAATAATAATAAAGAGTTTATTGAGTGGTTGTTGTTAAATTGGTTCAATTCCTCAAACTCAGACTCAGACTCAAACTCAGACTCAGACTCAAACTCAGACTCAGACTCAGACGCAGACGCAGACGCAGACTCAGACGCAGACGCAGACGCAGACTCAGACTCAGACGCAGACGCAGACGCAGACGCAGGCGCAGGCGCAGACTCAGACGCAGACGCAGACTCAGACGCAGACTCAGACGCAGGCGCAGACGCAGACTCAGACGCAGACGCAGACTCAGACGCAGGTGCAGGCGCAGACTCAGACGCAGACGCAGACTCAGACGCAGACGCAGACTCAGACGCAGGCGCAGGCGCAGGCGCAGACTCAGACGCAGACGCAGACGCAGACTCAGACGCAGACTCAGACGCAGACGCAGACTCAGACGCAGGCGCAGGCGCAGACGCAGGCGCAGGCGCAGACGCAGACGCAGACGCAGACTCAGACGCAGACGCAGACTCAGACGCAGACGCAGACTCAGACGCAGACGCAGGCGCAGACTCAGACGCAGACTCAGACTCAGACTCAGACTCAGACGCCTCCGGCAACACTCCAGATTAATGACACTTAATTACTTCAATGGTTTTAACAAAGACGCAGCTGGAGCAGAAAGAACAAGATGACACTGAAAACAAGGTTCATTTAAAAGCAACTCACAATAATCACCATCAAAATATAAATATCCAAGAGGGGGAGAGGTCCTTCCTCAAGTGGCTCCTCCTCAAGTAAATCAGGGTCTTGTTCACGAGTGAGGGAAGGATGGAGGGGCAGCGTCTGCAGTCAGAGCTGTCTCGGGCAAAGTGGGGTTAAGTGTCTTGCTCAAGGACCAGGATGCCATACAAATGGGAAAGTCATTCATGTGGGAATACTGTGGTGCATCTGCATTTCAACACAGCTAAAAGCCACAAACTACAAACCAACAGTTTTCTGAACATCATTATTGCTCCGTGAAATACATATTATTTTCTAACACTCATTCATACTATATTCATCTGGTTTTTAATCTTCTGTAAAGTATCATGAATGACTTTAGTTCTCCATATTTACAGTAATTTAAGCATCATCAGTCACTGGTCCATGAAGCTGAAACACTAGAAAGAATAAATCCAATTCATCAATAATAAAATAATAATAATAAAGAGTTTATTGAGTGGTTGTTGTTAAATTGGTTCAATTCCTCAAACTCAGACTCAGACTCAAACTCAGACTCAGACTCAAACTCAGACTCAGACTCAGACGCAGACGCAGACGCAGACTCAGACGCAGACGCAGACTCAGACTCAGACTCAGACGCAGACGCAGACGCAGACGCAGGCGCAGACTCAGACGCAGACGCAGACTCAGACGCAGACGCAGACTCAGACGCAGGCGCAGACGCAGACTCAGACGCAGACTCAGACGCAGGCGCAGACTCAGACGCAGACGCAGACTCAGACGCAGACTCAGACGCAGACGCAGACGCAGACTCAGACGCAGGCGCAGACGCAGACGCAGGCGCAGGCGCAGACGCAGACGCAGACGCAGACGCAGACGCAGACTCAGACGCAGACGCAGACTCAGACGCAGACGCAGGCGCAGACTCAGACGCAGACTCAGACTCAGACTCAGACGCCTCCGGCAACACTCCAGATTAATGACACTTAATTACTTCAATGGTTTTAACAAAGACGCAGCTGGAGCAGAAAGAACAAGATGACACTGAAAACAAGGTTCATTTAAAAGCAACTCACAATAATCACCATTTGTTAAAGTCAAAACAAATGGAAACTTCCTTAGGATTTGTAACGTACTTTTCTTTCAAGTCGACAAAAAACTGATGAAAAGCAGCGAGTCGTATGAGAGTTCTTTGTTCACTGCAGAAGTTTATAAAAAGTTCAGCCTTTTGTAACTTTTTAGGACGAGACAAACATTCGACACAGAAATAATCAAGAAGAGTCTGTTTTTGAGGAGAAATGTAATTCTAGTTTCATCTCATTCTTTCCACACAACACTGAAATACAAACTCCTGAACAAGACTGGCATTAAATGAAAGAAAGGAAAGTAAAATATTTTAGGATCTGACTCCAAACAAGGAGTTGTACATTATTAATTCTGATGTTTTGACTTTAATCAATTATCCATCCATCCATCCATTTTCCACCCTTTAATCCATTTCTGGGTCAGGGGGGTGGCAATCAGAGATGCCACCCAAGTCTCATTTAATCAATTATTTTCCAAAAATTAAATAAAATTGTATGAATTATATTTTTGTTCAAATGCAGCAGAGATGATCAGGGGACATACTGAACGATATCGTAGAGTTAGAAATATATAACATCAAACTGAAAGTCCTCTGTATGAGACACATGTTGTATCTTGTTTTATGTATTTAACACTGTATTTCTGCTCTTTCACTGTATTTATATTTAGATCATTCTGTGTTTTAACCATGGACTGTAAATATTAACAGACCTATATTAACCTATCTCCGCCGTTCTAACTAATGTGCCACAACGTCCGCGGTCTAGGGGCAGATTCAAAATGGCCGCGGGGGCTGGAAAATGTGAAAAAACACATCTGTGCATGCGTCAGCTGCACGAGCCCCATTCATTTAAACGAGTGCCTTCTAAAGTCCACAGCGACTAAACTAGACTGGTCCAGAACACTCCCCTCACCATTGACACACGTGTGGAACGGAGCTTTGGGCCAAGAGCCACTTGTGGACCATCCTGTAAAGACGTTTTCGAGAAGATGCTATATGTTAGATTTGGCTAATTCTTATTCCGGGTCCACCCCCACAGGCCCGGGGTGGTATTGCAGCATGTCAGCGCACGTCATTTTGGCCATTTTTGACCCGCCCCCACTGGGTTTTTTTACACACCCACTGGTGCTCTGTCTGTAAACGAAGTCCCTCACGGATGACTAAAGTTATTTGAATTGAAATTGGTGCGATCAGAAAGACACCCAGCCCTGGTATTAAAAATAAGGCTAGAAACATAAAAGGAATGATGTCATTAGTCCCCATCTGACACATTCTATTGACGATGCCTGCTGTTCTAATCTGGTCATAACAGTCCTAGTAAGTGTAGTTGTAATTCATTTATAAACGCATTTTACAGACCAAGGTCGCCCAAAGCTCTTCACAATTGTTAAGACTTCAAATATTGTTCCATTCTCTGGACCATCAAAGCCCCAAACCAACATCCTCCATTCACTCTTTACATTCAGACCTATTGTGCATGTTTTTACTGGTAGGGGAAACCGGAGCACCCAGAGGAAACCTTCGCAGACACTGATAGAACACGCAAACTCTACACAGAAAGGCCTGGAGATGGACTCAACCCCAGAACCTTCTTCCACATTTCCAATTACCTCCACAAATGGACAACATTTAGGGAATAGAAACTTAAAAATTGTGCTTTGTCTGCACTATTCTCTCTCTGCTCGACATTTCTTGGCTCAGGAGTGGACTTACATAACTGATCGCACTGAAATGCAATCATCCCGTTCTTTGGCTGCGTTCCACGGTGGATAGAACCAGGACGGGGGGTTCAGAACATGGGGCAGAGTTTAGCCGGAGAGGAGGCGGTGCAAACACAGAGACGAGAACTGGAGAGAAGCCAAGACCAAGGCCAATACTCCAATCCGAAGAGACTAGCCTCAGAAGCTAGTCAGATTGAAACTGTGTGTGTTCCCCGCTTGAAGTCTAAAGCACTATATGCGAGGAAATCTGACCTAGGTGTCAGACACAGTAACTTAATAAAAGTTCAGACAGACAGAAATAGTTCTAGCGGTAGGGTTGTTAAATGTGGTTTAATGAACGTCAGATCAATCTCGTCTAAATCGCTTCTCATAAACGAACTTATTATAGACAAGGGCTTGGATCTGTTTGCGCTCTCGGAGACTTGGCTCCAACAGGACGAGTACGTTAGATTGAATGAGTGCACTCCTCCGACGCATGTTAACTACCAGAAAGCGAGAACTACAGGTCGCGGCGGTGGTGTTGCGATTATATCACACACCAACTTGGTTCTTAGTCCCAAAACCAACAACGCTTTTCACTCGTTTGAAAACTTAACACTTTCAATCACCTGTCCTGGGTGGAGAAAACAAAAAGCAGTACTATTTATAGTTTTATACCGACCTCCTGGTCCTTACAGCGAGTTCCTAACAGAATTCTCTGACTTCATTTCAAACCTAGTTTTGGAATGGGAAAACATAGTTATAGCTGGAGACTTCAATATACATGTGGACGACAGCACTGACAGCTTAAACAAAGCTTTCAGCGCCGTACTAGATGGTGTTGGTTTTACTCAGAATGTCGAGGAACCTACTCACATTCATAACCACACCTTGGACCTTGTCCTGACCTACGGCAGTGATGTCTCCAATGTTGACATCCAGCGTCAAAGCTCGTTGCTGTCTGACCATTTCTTGATCACGTTTGATCTCGCTTTGGAGGACTTTCCTGTCCCGCAAGATAAAACCATAATGAAAAGAACCTTAAATGATAAATCTATCACAAGGTTCAAAGAACTAATACAGCCTATGTTGAATACTGCTGCAGGTGAACCTGTTCACAGCAGCTGCAGTCCCTCAGTCATTGACCAAACGGTGGGAGTCTTTCAAATCTGCATTAAATGCAGCAGCTCCTTTAAAACAGAAAACCATTAGGATTAGATCATCGTCGCCCTGGTACAGTGTTCAACTCCACACTTTAAAACAGGACATCAGAAAATTGGAGAGGCTATATCGCCACTCCCACTCGGAGCCTGTCCACAGGGAGTGGAAAGCAGGTCTCCGAAACTACAAGAAGGCCCTTCGCGGGGCTCGAACTCAATACTATTCAACTTTAATAGAAGCGAATAAAAACAACAGTAGATTTTTGTTTGGCACCGTCGCTAAACTCACAAACTGCCATAGCGCAATCGAGCCTAAAATTCCAAGCTCACTGAGCAGTGTCGACTTTCTCCACTTCTTTAATAATAAAATTACATCCATCCGTGACAAACTGGAGGAGGTTACTCCTGCTGTTAGTGGTGGACAGGTTGAAGCGGCATACGTGACTTCCCACTTAGACTCTTCAGTGGGCCTCGATAAATTCATGGCTGTGAGCCAAGCAGAGGTGATCTCTGTGGTCACATCCTCAAAAGCCTCAACTTGCATGTTAGACGCAGTCCCGACATGGCTCTTCAAAGACATACTTCCTTTGATAATTGAGCCTATCGTAAATATAATAAACGCATCCATACAATGTGGCTATGTCCCACAAGCTTTTAAAACCGCGGTAATCAAACCCCTTCTGAAGAAAACAAACCTGGACCCAGAAATACTTACAAACTACAGACCGATCTCAAACCTCACTTTTATATCTAAAATCCTGAAAAAACGTATAGCTGAGCAGCTCCGCTGCCACCTGCAGGAAAATAATATGTTTGAAGTCTTTCAATCAGGATTCAGAGCTCATCATAGCACTGAAACGGCACTAGTCAAAGTCACAAATGACTTACTACTAGCTGCCGATAATGGACAAGTGTCAGTGCTGGTCCTACTGGACCTTAGTGCTGCATTTGACACAATAGACCACAGCAT